ACCGGTAATGTTTTGGAGTGAAAAAGTTGCAAACTAAAAAGCAAAATCATTGACTATTTTCATCGAACAATATTTATTTATGGAAGTGCCAAAAAGCCTGATGAGAAAAAAAAGTAAAGAGGACGAGCAAACTTTTGCAGAATTAAATTCAGCTCATCGCCGTTCGCAAGCAAAATGTCAGTTAGTACAAACCAGTTACGAATTAAATTGCTCTTGTAAGCGCCATGCAATAAACATCTTATTAACCGAGCTTAGTCAGTCTGTGTGGGAGAATCTTGACCTCGGTCTTTGCTCACGACCTCGGTCAAGATTCCCCCACACAGACCTCCTGCTCGGTTAATAAGAGCTAACAATTTTTTTTACATTTGAGAAACTAAATTTATTTAATTTCAATTGTAAGTTAATTTATTTATGATTAAAAGTTGCCTTTTTGTACTGATTTGACAGAATTGGTTGTCGTTGTGAGATCAGAAGTCATCGCAACTTCACCTTGTTCTATCCTCTATGGAACCCACTCTATCGTTTAGCCCCAGAAATTTAGTGCTCACGTTTTCCTTAAAAATAAAATATCGCGCACCATTGATACAAATCCGACACGATCCCTTTAGAGTGATAACAGACCGTTTGAGCATTTGACGACAAATTGGCTGTGAGCGAAGATTGCTCTTTCTTAGCCAATTTAGGTTTAACGTCCCAAATAACGCCTGCCAAGAACGGGTCAACGACGACGTTGAATTGAAAATGAATTTAAACTTTACTCACGAATTTGACGATTTTCTTGAGCCATTTAGTGCTATTCTATGTCAAAAACTATCCCACTACTTAAAGGAGCTCAGTCATGGCATTTTAACCCATTTTGGCCGCGTACAAAATTATTTTTAAATTGAAGGAAACCTGAAAATAATAGTTTACTTAGATAGAAAAACACCAAAGAGATAATGGTAAAGTCTGCATACGGGCCAAGTGGCTCATCAGGCCGGAGCTTATCCCGGTTTCAGTAGCATAAAGCGACAAGGAGTGTTTCAACTCCCCCTGGATGGGACGCTAGTCCATCGTAGGGTAACCCCCCAGCATTACATTCGCCGGTACCCATTTGTACACCTGGGTGGAGAGAGGCACTGTGAGAGTAAAGTGTCTTGCCCAAGAACACAACACAATGTCCCCGGCCAGGGTTCGAACGCGGCCCGCTCGCTCCGGAGTCCTACAAAAGAGATAATAATAAACAACAAAGGAACAATTGTGGATATACAAACGACAAACTTGGAAAATTTAGGCTAAACTTTTTAAGTTGAAGAAACCGTGACTCAGCTGCATAATTTAGTTTTGCTGAGAAAGGCTGAGAAATTTACCAATACATTGTGTATAATGCAAATACACAGGTTTATAGTCACGTTATGAGGCCTTTACAACACGGGTCGACTCCAGTCATGTCTGGTCATTTTTCCATTGTTAAGAGAATATTTGTACGTTATTGAACTAGTGCAAGGATGTTAGGGAAATATTGGTCGAATTCTTCATTAATTTTTGTAATTTGTCTGTGGTTTTCCGTCCTAAGAAAGATAAAAATATAACGTGTACCATGGAGAGAGACATTTAGAGCGCATTTTCTTTATACGCAACCAAATTATCAAAACTGAAATTAAGAGACGTACACAAGTTATTGGCAAAGTATATTTTGGGGAACAACTACAAAACTGTCGAATATTTTTCAGCGCTCTGTTCCAAAATTAAGACTCCCGTTCGCATGAGGAAATTAATGGCCAAACTAAAATAACACATTTCAGAAAAAGTTTAATTCTGCTGTCATAGCGCACGCGAAAGCGCTAGGGGATTATTTCTGGCCCTCACTCTCACACAATACTTCCAGGGAGAAAGAAAGCCTCCAGCCCGTGACCCCGTGAGCGTAGCGCTGCGTGACAGAGAGAGGCTATAATTGAGTATTGTTGAGTAAAACAAAGTACCGCTATCCGCTTGAGAGCTTCACCATCCTGACTAGCAAAGACATGTCTTGGTTTATTCCAGTTGTAATCGGTTTGCTTGCAATCTATTTCGTAAGAAGACTGATCCCTCGAGCGAAAGTTGATGTTAAAGGCAAGTATGTTCTTATTACGGGCTGTGACTCCGGTTTCGGTCGCGAAACCGCCATCAAACTGGACGAGATGGAGGTTTGCGTGATAGCGACTTGTTTAACGAAGGAAGGAGAACAGAGTTTGAAATCCGTGACAAGCGACAAACTAAAAACATTCCAGATGGATGTTACAAACTCACAGCAGATAAATGACGTTTACCAGGAGGTGAAAAAGAGTATTCCTTGTGATCAAGGTAAATCTATTGAAGCATTACATTTTTCATATTCCACAAGGCTACCCACGGTATATATATAGCGTTTTCACGTGACGTCATCAAATTCTTAAATCCAAAACTAAAGAGCCACCAAAGGTTTTGTCCTCATCAGGCATAAGAGGTACTAAAGTTATATCTGTTTACAACTTTCCAGCTCAGTAGCGCCCTTCGTTTGGAAACCAGCACATTTTGAATTTTGAAGTTATGGTGGTGCGTGACATAAAGGACGAAAAATATGTATTTATCTCGTGATTTTTAGCCTTTTAAGACGTTGTCGTACTTGGAAAAGCGCTTATTTAAATGTTTATTTGCTCAGTGCAGATAATCATTGTCTCAGATAACCAAAGTAAGTTCCAGATGTTAACACTATTTTCCGGCCGCCATTTTTTCATTTGAAACTTAAATCAACAACAGATGCAAGTTTTGAAGCCCCAAATTGTGTGCTTTTGTAGATCTGATTGTCTCTGCATTCATTTCATGTGGGCCATATCATGCAAGTGATTTCTTGAACCTTGCACTTGATCGATCATGCGTTATGTTGCAAGAGAACACAAACAACAAAATCGTTGAATTGGCACGTAATATTTTAAAAGTGAAAAATAACAACTGAAAAACTTTCAAACAGTTTACTATATGCCTCGGAGTATAGAAAATTGAAAGAATTTTGATCACAGAGTATTGAATGACCTGCAATAACCGTAACCTGTTTCAGATACACTTCAATATATTGCAAATCTGCTTAGCTTTTGATACCAAAAAATTCTTGCTTTCAACGAAACACTGAAATTGGTGGTCTTAAATCCTGTGCATACAACGACTGTACTTATTTGCACGTGCCGACTGACTCTTTGTTTTCATTGAAACCACAGGATTGTGGGGCCTGGTGAACAACGCAGGAATTCTTGATATACGTCCAATCGAATGGGCACCACTGGACCTCTTTAAACGCATCGCAGACGTAAATCTGTGGGGAATGATTGACGTCACTAAGACCTTTCTACCGTTGGTGAAAAAAGCGCGGGGACGAGTTGTAAACTTCTCAAGTGCTGCCGGTAAGAGAGGGATATATTTATTGGTAATTGTTTAATTGTTCTATTACCTGCTGCACTAAAAACTCAAGTCTCTTGGTGATTGTCTGTTTTCTTGAATTTTATACTCTTCTTAGCAAGTTTTGGGCTTGTGTAAGAAGCAAGTTCCGACAAAGGTGTAGTGTTTTGCAAAACCCTCAGACCCATAACCTCCCCCTGGTATATCAACCAACGGCGCATTTAGAGGAGGTTGGGGTGGATTGGGTGGCTAACCACCCCCATTTTGGATAAGTCAAAACAAAGAAAATAATTTAAAACGATTGTGAATACTATGACAGAATTAAAGGCAAGCATTCTGGAGACGAACTTCATAGTAATTTCTAGTTTGTGGCATATTTGCTTGTATTTCTGGTGTAGCAGTTTTAAAACAGATTCTAATTTTCAAATTGCAACATTTGGGGGCATGCCTCATTGATTCTGCAACCACCCTTTGAATAATCTTGGATCCGCTCCTGTCAACATTTAGCTGCTAGAACAGTCTTAAAACAACAACAAAAAGGTAGATTTCCAAAGAATGCATTTGTTAATGTCATTACACTTCAAGCAACTTACAGGTAAGTCCTCTGTCAGTGCAGTTTTTAAAAAGGAATTTCTGGCTGATTTGTTTCTTGAGCTCGTTAGATTTGCTTTACCAGTGTTCTTTTTTGTCTTGGCATATTATTTTGAGTAAAGCCCCGGCCAAAAAACTGCAACATTTTAGCGCAACATATCGCAACATTGTTGGCCCAGTATTTGCAAGCCCTGGCCAAATGATCGCAGCATATCGCAACATTGTTGGGCGCAACATATTGCGTGCGTTTGACCACCCTGTTGCGACGTGTTACGACATGTTGGGTGCTGCAAATCGAACTAGTTCGCATGCTCTGGCGCAAAATTGTTCCACGAACCTGGCCAAACGAGTAAACATCGTGCAACATCCTCAGATGTTGCATGAAAAATTTGAGCAGTTTCAAACTTGAGCCAACAACACCCAACATGTCGCAACACATCGCAACAAGGTGGCCAAACAAGCACAACATGTTGCCCCAGCAGTGTTGCGATACGTTGCGTTGAATTGCTTCGATCGTTTGGCCGGGGCTTAACTGTTAACGTGGCGTATCACGCGACCATTTGTTTAGGCACTCTAGACGAATACATGTAACTTAAGTTTAGTTGTTTCCCAAAACTTTGGCTTAACCTTGTTAATGGACTTGAAATTGTTTTGTATCTGCTATTATTATTTTTTGTAGTTAATATTTCTCATTTTGCTGTAATCAACAGGTCGACTGACCACTAACTTCGTCGGAGCTTATTGCATCACCAAATACGGCGTGCAAGCGTTCTCTGACGCTCTTAGGAGAGAAATGCATCCCTGGGGAATCAAAGTGAGCATCATTGAACCAGGAGGATTCAAAACACAAATGAGTAATGCCCGTGTCATAGAAAGGCAACTAAGACAAGGCTGGAATAACCTGAGTGACGAACTGAAAAGAGACTATGGAGAAGAATACTTAGAAAACGGTTAGAAATCTTATCACTTCATCCTGGGCATAGGCGTACGGGCACCTTCGGACTTGGTGGGGCGGTGACTTTCTTGCCCGAAAATTTTACGCAATGCCCTATTGCGAGAGTGTTGAAATTGGGATACGGACGTACTCAAATTGCATGAAAAACAAAAATGTTCACAATTCCCACATCTAATGAAACTGCTATAATTCCAAAAATAGTTAGATTCAAAGTTTACGTGCACATAATCAATCAATCATACTCTATCAACAGTCTCAATCCGAGTAAAATCTAAAAGTGATTAAAAGAGAAATTCTCAAAAAAGTAACTAACTAGAAACTATATTTACGAGCTTTGGAAATCACGCAAACAGCATTATTTTGTAATGTTTTCCCTTGAATGCCGTTGCCCGAATCATTTACGTTTTGCCCGAAAAATCACATAATTTCCCTAGCTGGGGGGGCTGCAGCCCCCCTCCCCCTCCCCCCTCAGCTCGTACGCCTATGATCCTGGGAGTTCTTTTCCTACGAGAAAATTGACAACTTGATAAATCATTCAGTGTAGGAAATCTAGCCCGAAATTCATACTACTATACCATGCGAGATAGAGATTCCCTTTTCTTTCTGCGCAGTGAAAGACGAGAGGGAACCGCTCGATTTCCTATCGTGCATGCACAAACTACGTCATAATGTCACATGGGTCGTAATCAAACTTATTGTTAATTTATTTACGGGTCAAGTGGCGAATTATTTGAATTCCGACCTGTCTTTTCCACCTTTTATTTCGTAGAGAAACAATAGAAATTTCCAGATAAATGAAACTGTTTTGTTTATCAACTCTCAAATCGTATTCCTTTGACAATAAATAGTCTGTAAGGTGAATTAATGTACAGAAATAGATTCTGGAGTTGTACAAACAGAAAAAGATCAAGGATTGCCAGTTATTCATCGGACAAAAGTTTTGAGTTTGTTGAGTTCGTACGTGACGAACCCAGGCCGGTGCAGTGTTGCCAGCGAGGGCACAGCTACTAACACGGCCACGGCCAATTCCTCAGTCTTCCTCTGCCAAAACCATTAGAACACTGCCACTGCCACTGCCTTTCTCGCTGCCACTGTCACTCCCATCACCTGTCAAACAAAAAACCGTGAAAATGCGAAGCCAGATCCATTGTAGACTGACCGTACATTTATTGGTTGCTGTTATTTGTCGTAGGTATAAAGTTCCTATCTTCAAGTCCTCCTTCCCATCATACCTATCGAGTAGTTGACGCTGTTGTCGACGGACTAACGTCCCAAGCACCACGTGACCGATATCTAGTCGGTTTGGACGCCTGGCTTTTCTTTGCATGGATGGCGCGGTTACCAACCGGCCTGGCAGACTTCATAATCACTCGCGTGATATTTAGAGACATAGTGCCACGGGGAAGCAAGTAATGAGTGAAGCTCGGCTCTTAAATGAGGAGTACGTTAACCAGTCTAAAAGTATGATCACATAACGCCTCTCCTCGTGGAACTTCATTGGCTACCCATTGAACAAAGGATAAACTTTAAAATTCTACTGATTGCATTTAAGGTGCTACACAACCAAACTCTTACATATCTAATTGACTTACTTACTCATTATCATCCCTCGAGATTACTTCGTTCATTTCCTAAAAACGTGCTTTGGAATTCAACTTATAATCTTCAGTAAAACTTATGGTGGGCGTTCTTTTGCCGTTGCGTAGCCATCATTGTGGAATTCTCTATCCCAATCTGTCAAAGATTCTACGTCAGCTAACACTTTTAAACGTAGACTCAAAAAGCATCTTTTCTTGAGTGCTTACCACGGATGCTGATTTTTTATTGTTTTATTATAGTTTTACAGTTTTTAGATTTAGTCAATTTTAGATAGTTTTGGTAAGTTTTCTGTTAATTTTCAGTGAATTTTTATACTTGCAAAGCGCTGTTGAACCACTGGGAAACAGCGCTATATAAATGTATTATTATTATCATAACCATTACAATTTCTTCAAATGTAATTGGTGCATAAACTGCTGTATTTTGCACTAATTAATTTGCAAAGATATAATCGGACAGTGTAATCGGACAGTTGGTTATACAGTCAACTCCCGTTATAGCGGACACCCTCGGGACCGCGATTTGGTGTCTGTAATAGCGAGAGTCCGTAATAGTTGGGTGCGAGAAAATTTTTATGTTATAACATTTGGACACACTGGACGAGCTTATTCATGGCAGCGAGACTGCAAAGAGGGCCTTAAGAGAAAAAGATGAAGAAATTTTGATTGATGGACAGAAGAAGCGGAAATCGAACAAAAAAGACAAAGACATTTTCAAAAAGCAGAAAAAATAGACTTGATATTTGTGCAAATATTCCAAGATACTGCTCGGTGTCCGCTATAACGAGAGAGGAAACGATAAAATTGTGACGTTGGGACCGAATAAAGTGTTCGTAAGTCCGTAATTGGAGAGTCCGTAATAGCGGGAGTTTGTTTCAGTCAAACGCCTGTAACTTTCGCCGGGGATTTAGCTGCTGTCCGTAACAGCGGTATCTGTAATAGCGAGGTGTCCGCAAGGCAGGAGTTGACTGTAATCGGACACCTGTAATCAGACAGTTACATGAGCCAATCATTTTAAGTCCTTTCAGCTAAATCCACCAATCACCACATTGATTACAATCACTATAGCAACAAAAACTTACCCCTCACGGCAGGGGCCTTTTCCAAAATGGCCGAATATGTATCTTTAGATAATGTCTTTACTGGCGATATTTTCCCCGATGTGAATTTTGACACATTTCCACAGTTTCTTCAGCAAAGTGATGAAAGTTTATTATTGGAATTGCCAGCTTTCACAGATGAAATACTAGAAACACAGCCCACAGTGACCACAGCATCGTTGATTCCCTCACAAATTCCACGAACGGAAACAATGCAAGTTGAATTATCTGATTACCTACAGCGGCAACATTCTGTTCCAGATGAAAATATTTCCTTGCTAATAGAGAAGAGTCCCGTTTTCCAGTTGTCTCAGGCGAAAAAATAACGGAGATAAACTAGTCGGCTAAAAGCAAAAACACAAAGTGTGGAAAAAATAGTGTACAGCGCGAAATATTGACGACAAGATTGAGAGTTTCAGCCCTCAAACTCTGGACGAGAATTTGACAAAATTCTACCTTGAAGTGAGAAAAAAGAAAGGCGAAAAAAAATAAAACAAAAAAACCAAAAAGCCTAAAGACGTAGGAAACTTTCGTCCAAAAACTCATCTCAAAATTTTGATTTCTGCGCATGCCCGAGCAAAAATGTGATAAAACGCGATGCTAGTGGAAAGAAAGGCATTCTGTCTTGTTGCAAATGCCTTTTTGAGTAGATTAAAGCCCGTTTAGCTCATATCCAGGCTAAAGATGTCTAGAAATGCGTTTTTTCGGCCAAAAATCTCCACGTGTCAAGGGGTTAAAAGCAAATGAATTGAAAAAATAGCAATAGTAACTGTTTGTCAATCCGTCAAACATTTACAAACCTCTATCCTCCTTCCTTTACCAACTAAGAGATTCACAATTATTCATTCACATTGTAAGTAAAGTTGAATAGCGGAGAAAGTTTTCCATTTAGTGGAAAGTACTAAGATATTCTTAGTTTCCACATCGTCCAGTAAGTATAGCATATTCATGTCTATAGCTGGAACAACATAATTAAGAGGGTTTGGCATAAGCATTTGCCGCGCCACTCCGGAATGTTTTGATTCTTGCCTGGCTGGAGATGCAGTTCCCAGGCTCTCGTGCACAGCGGCACGAGATAAGGCGAAGCCGAGAGAGACGAGTCGGCGAGCAAAGTGAGCCCGCGAACATGAGAGCTTCTCATTATCTGTGCCTCTCACAATACAAGAAAAGCCTTATTTGTATGTAATACTGCGTTTCGATAACAGTTGGATTGATCATTTTTTATTATTCACCGTAAAAGAGATGATTATTTGAGTGAACATGATTATTCCAGTATAGTACAAAATAAATCTTAGACAGAGAATTCCTCGCCGATTTTAGCAAAAAAGAGACTTGCTATTGCGTTCATTGTAACGCGTCTGAGGAGTTGAAAATTAGATGCTCCTGTTCTCCATACAAATTATATATTATAAACTACATTATATTAAGCTTGGGTGACCTGTGGTATAAACAAGAAAGGATCACCGACTACTGAACTTCAGGAGCCACATGTAAATCATGTTTTGGTTTATTCCAGTTGTAATCGGTTTGCTTGCAATCTATTTCGTAAGGAGACTGATCCCTCGAGCGAAAGTTGATGTTAAAGGCAAGTATGTTCTTATTACGGGCTGTGACTCCGGTTTCGGTAGAGAAACCGCCATTAAACTGGACGAGATGGGAGTTTGCGTGATGGCGACTTGTTTAACGAAAGCAGGAGAACAGAGTTTGAAATCCGTAACAAGCGACAAACTAAAAACATTCCAGATGGATGTTACAAACTCACAGCAGATAAATGACGTTTGTAAGGAAGTAAAAGGGCAGATTGCTTGTGGTGCAGGTAAACTTTGTAAAAACATTAGACATTTCTACGCACGGTTTAGGTTTAGATTATGTCATTGGTAAGTCAATAAGATCGCCAGAAAGTTCTCTAATTTGTAAAACTTGGTTTGAAAAGATAGGCAATTGTCACTGTTAGAATGAAACCTTGAATTCTCATTGAAAATTTGCAACTTTTGCACATTTTTGTTTTGCTTTTTGATAAAAGCGAAATCAGGTCTACCGTTTCTTTATCGATGTTTTTGTGTGACTTATCAATTGTGTCACTTGGTTGATCATGCGTTGTATACGTTTGATTAACCGGGCGACATCACGAAATAAATATGTTACAACTTTTACATCAGCGGGAACAAGCAGTTATAAGACCTGGCTGCATGTTATGAGGAGAGAAGGAGTGCTGTATTTTTGAGACAACTCTTCATCCACGACCTTAATATATGGCAAAGTGAATTTTCTGAGGACAATCAAAATAAACTGTTTTTGTAAGCACGTTGGCTGACTTACACTTTTGTTTTCTTTTGTTGTACGTAGCTACAGGATTGTGGGGCCTGGTGAACAACGCTGGAATTCTCCAGACACTTCCCATAGAATGGACACCACTGAACACCTTTAAACGTATCGCAGACGTAAATCTGTGGGGAATGATCGACGTCACTAAAACCTTCCTTCCATTAGTGAAAAAGGCCCGGGGACGAGTGGTAAACTTCTCCAGTGGTACTGGTAAGTAAACGATAAAAAAAAAACAAACGGTTTTTTCTTTCTTTTCCCTTTGCTTGGTTTGGTTTCGTTTTTTTGGACGTTTTGGGTACAGTAAAAACCTGTGTGTAAGAACGTAGTGGTTTAAGAACCTGCTGGCCAAAATTTGCTATTTTAATACCCAAAAATATAAGAACCTGCTAGGTTTATTTGTTTTTGTTAATCTTATGGCTCCTGTCAACAACCACGTCTCCTTCATCGAAATTAAGAACTAATTTGGAACCTACTAAGCCTAAATTGCCAACAACTAACACAAAATACACGAACCTATTTTGCCCGACCTCTGGTTGGATCTTACACGTCGGTTTTTATTGTATATTTTCAACTGCGACGCTAGCTTCAGCTATGCCAAGCCGTAATGTTTTCCAGTAATTTCAGAATCCTGCTAATAGCGCCCTAAGGGCCGCCAGGCGGAGCCCCATACTCGTATAGGAAAGAAAAGGAAACCCATGGATTGATTTTCTCATGGTTAGCATGGCTAGCGATGTTGTTCGTGGGCGCGTACGCACGACGGCGGCGGAGTTGCCCAAGATGGCAGCCATACTCCAGCTAATAGGTTGAAAGAGACATACAGCCTTGGTTTTTAACGTCGTTCTTTGATATTGGACATCCATATTATGGTCAATTGACACCTGTCAAAACAAGGTATCCGCTGACGAGTATGACGTGATCATATCGCGGGCTCAAATTTTCAGCTCATTGAGGTCAAGTGTTTTTTTTTTTTAAGTTGACTGCTGACTAAGTGCTGGTTTACGATTGGATCATTGGTTCATATCAGGTTAACTTGTTGTAAACATGGCCGGGTTGTTCGGAAGCCGGTTAACGCTAACCCAGCTTTTGATTTGTGTATTTTGAGATTGTTCAAACTCAGAAAGAAGGCCAAACAAAATACAGAAAGCCTCACCGCAAAGTTACAAAACTCAAATGAAAATTCTTGCTTATCCTGGGTTAGCTTAATCGAGCTTTGAACAACCTGGCCCTGGGACCATTTCTCGAAGGTCCCGAAATATTTTCTCACTCGGAAACCTTAGCAAAATTTCAAACTTATGATTACAGAGCTGTTTTTTTCACATATTTTTAATATGAAAAGAGGTTCTCTTCATACAAGAAGTTTCAGGCGTATATTCCTCTCTGCTTTTGGATACAGATGTATTAAAAATGGCTTTGCTGGCTCGATAAGTTTCCGGGTCTTTTGAGAAACGGGCCCCAGG